ATTTTCTTGGTTTGGAGAAATTACACGGTGAGGTAGTTGAACAGGTTTTCTGATGCCTTAGCAACGATTATTAGCATTGCTCATTAGGGCAGATCTATTAAGATTAAAAAACAATGATTGTACTTATGCTGTCAGAATATTCTACAGTTTATAGTCCTGACAATATCTATAAGGATTTCGCTCGATTTGGAATTCCTGAAAGTAGATCTTTCAGTGGTTCGTATTTACCATAAATTAGTTTGGTCTCGCTAATTCGCTTTTATCAGTACTTTATCGTCTTGTCGCGTTGCCGTCAAATTGGTCTTCCACAAGGGGAGTACTTGGCTTCTTCCCTGTATAATCCAGGCCTTGGTTTATGTGACAGCGGCGGAGGGTAAAAGCAGCTCGGGTACCCATTTGGAGGTCTGGAAGAGTAGATATTTAAATTAACTGTATGGCGTTGTTTATTCTCTCTTGCTCTTCTTGTCTGAGTTTTCCTATGTCTGTTTGTCTGTCTGTCAGTCTCTACTGGTTTCTGTATGTTCGGTGTCTTATCCGGCTTTCTCTGCGTCTGTCTGTCTGATCTGAGTCGATGTCTCAGTTCTATTCTCTCTTCTCTCTTCGTCCTCTCTCTCCCCTCTCGTTCTCTCTCGTGGTTTCTTCTCTTCTCGTCTTCTCTCTCTCTCTCTTCTCTCTCCTCATCTACCACACACTACACACACACACGTATACACACACATGCATATATTGAATGCGTTCTCTCTCTCCTCTTATATATATATATATAGAGATGATTAGATAGAAGAGATAGATAGATAAGATATAGAAAATAGATAGATACAGATATATTGCGAACGACCATACATTCAAGCGATTCCCACAGGCCCACCCCGTTCAACCCCCCCCACCTCCCCCGCGGCGCCGCAGCAGGCCAAGGCAAAGACTGTGAGTGATTCACCAGCGGTTCGGGTCGCTAAAGCTGCAGGGGGCGTCTCCAGCAGGCAACGCTGCCAATCCACGCCACCTCCCTTCTCCCTCTTTCGCTCTGTGCTTCTTTTGTCCTTTTTTTTTTTTTCATTTTTTAAATTTATTATATTATATTTTTTGGTTACCTCTCGCACGCCCTTTTTTTTTTTTTTTTTTTTTTTTATCTCTTTCACGTCTCTTTGTATTTCTCTTTGCTCTCTCACGTCTTTTCTTTATTTTTTTATTTTTTAGGTATCTTCTATTTTTATTTTTTTTGTTCTCCTTCTTAGCATGGTTCCGTTGCCTTATTACTTTTCCTTTCTTCTCCTTTTCATTTTGTTGTTCTTTTCCGTTCAATCTTGGTCGAAATGTTTCTTTATTTTACGTGCCATTTTATCTTATTTCTAATTTGCCTCAATCGTATTTATCGATTTTTCATTCTCNAAAGCGAGAATAGTGATGTTGATAGTAATCATTGGAGGAAACTCGAAGACAGGGAAAGTATAAGTACTATGCGAGTATATCACGAAATTGATGTTATAGATGTAAACGGAATATTAGATGGGAACCTGATATGCTTTCTCTCTCTCTTTCTTCTTTCTTTCTCTCTCTTCCTCTCACACTCTTCTTTGTTTCTCTCACTCTCTTCCTCTCTCTCTCTTTCTCTCCCTCTCACTCTACTTATCTATCTATCTGTCTTCCTTCCTCCCTCCCATCCCCCTTTCTCTCCTTTTCTCATTCGCCATTTCACTCTCTCTGCTTTTTTTCTTTCCTTTTTTTTTGCGTCTGTCTGTATATGTGTAAATTCACATGTATTTTCGAGGACGGCATTTTTCCAGTTTTTTTTTCCTTTCTTTTTTGTCGGAATTAAATTTTTGTTTTTTTCATTTCTCTTCCTACTCTTCCTTCTCTTCCTTATTATTATTATTGTTATTATTATTATATTATTATTTTATTATATTATATTTATTACTATAATTATTATTATTATTATCATTCTCCTCCTCCTCCATCTCCTTCTTCCGTTTTCCTCCTTCCTCCTCATTTACCTCCTCCTCCTCCTCCTTCACATTTTCTTTCTTCTCCTCTTCCTCTATCATCTCTGCCTCCTCTATCTCCTTCTTTATCTATAATCATTCGCCTTTCCTTTTCGTAATACCCATTTTCTATTGCAGCAATAACAGCTGATGTTCCAACTACCGTATTTCTTACTAATCCACTTCATCTCATTAAAAGCAAAAATAAAATAATATAATTAATAATAATAATATATAATAATATTAATAATATATATATAATATATAAATAATGATAATATATAATAATAGTAATAATACAATAGTAAATAATAATTGATAATGATAATGATAATGATAATGATAATAATAATGATATAATGATGATGATAAATAATAATGATAATAACAATAATAATATAATGAAAATGAAAAATAATAGTAATGATAAAAAAATAACAATAATAATAATTAATAATAATGATAATAATTAATGATAATAATAATGATGATAAATAAAAATAAATAAATAAAATGGAAAAATAGATAAAAACAAATGAAAATATTGACGAAAAAGTAGAACAAAAACACATAAAAATAAAATGTAAAAAAAATATAAAAAGTCCCCCCCCCCCGTGCACCCGCGCATGGCAAAAGCACGCAAATAATGATAATAATAATAATAATAATAATAATAAAATAATAATATAATAATAATAATATATAACAATAATAAAGATATATATAAACAAATAAATAAATGAATAGATAAATGAAAAATAATTTAAAAAAGAAAAATAAAAAAAATAAATAAAAATAAAGTAGAAAAATAATAATAATAATAATAAACAAAAACAAAAATAAAATGTAAAAAAAATAAAAAGTCCCCCCCCCCCCGTTGCCACCCGCGCAATCGGCAAAAAGCACACAATAATGATAATAATAATGCTAATAATAATAATAAAATGATAATAATGATAAAAAAATAATAAAATAAAATGTAAAAAATAAAAAGTCCCCCCCCCTCCGTGCACCCGCGCATGGCAAAAGCACGCAAGGCACTTCACTGCTTGCTGCCCGACTCTTAAAAGCAACGGAATGCGCCAAGAAGCCCATTTACAGCACACTTTATATTCATTTCTGGTGAGTTTGCCGTTTGTAAGTGCGAGAACTCAGTACTTTACGCAAATGAAGTGTTTATAAGTATTATTTTTTTCTCTCGAGTGTTTATAAGTTTTTTTTTCTCGAGTGTTTATAAGTATTTTTTTTTTCTCGAGTGTTTATAAGTATTTTTTTTTCTTTTCTCGAGTGTTTATAAGTATTTTTTTTCTCGAGTGTTTATAAGTATTTCTTTCTCGAGGGTTTATAAGTATTTTTTTCTCGAGTTATAGTATTTTTCTTGATAAGTATTTTTTTTTCTTTCTCGAGTGTTTAGTAAAGTATTTTTTTTCCTCGAGTGTTTATAAGTATTTTTTTTCTCTTTCTCGAGTGTTTATAAGTATTTTTTTTCTCGAGTGTTTATAAGTATTTTTTTTCTTTCTCGAGTGTTTATAAGTATTTTTTTTCTCGAGTGTTTATAAGTATTTTTTTCTCGAGTGAGTATTTTTTTTCTTCGTTTATAAGTATTTTTTTTCTCGAGTTGTTTATAAGTATTTACTTTTTCTCGAGTTTCAGAGATTGTGGGGAAAAGAAAAAAAAGAAGCGAGGAGAGAGGAAGGAAGGAGGAGGAAGAAGAGGTATGAGAATAATTATCATAAAAAAGTAAAAACGAAGAAGGGTAAGAATAGAGGAAGATGAAGGCGTAGGAGGAAAATGGAAGATTATAGAAGAGGAACGAAAAGAGAGGAGGAGGAAGAAAAGAAAGAAGAAAAATGTGGATTATATGAAAGAAGAACGGAGAGAGAGGAGGAGGAGGAAGGAAGAGTGATAATAATAAAAAAAAATGATGATTATAAAAAAGGAAGAACGAAACAGAGAGAAGATAAAAGAGAAAAGAAAAAGAAAATGAGGATTATATAAGAGAAGAACGGAGAGAGAGGAGGAGAAATAATGATAATGATAAGAAGCAAATGATGAATTATAAAAAGAAAGAAAGAAGAGAGAGGAGTAGAAAGAGAAAAGAAAAAGAAAAATGAGGATATATAAAAGACGAAAGAGAAAGAGGAGGAAGGAGGAGGAGGATAATGATAAATAATAAGAAGCAAAAATGATATTATAAAAAAGAAAGAACGAAGAGAGAAGAAGAGAAAAGAGAAAACGAAAAAGAAAAGGAGGATTATATAAAAGAAGAAAGGAGAGAGAGGAAGAGGAGGGATAATGATAATAATAAGAAGCAAAATGATTATTATAAAATAGAAGAAAGAAGACAGAGAAGAGAAAAAGAAAACGAAAAAGAAAGGAGGAATTAAATATAAGATAGGAACGGGAG